GTGTATTTCTAAGAGCCTGGAGCTCTAATAGAGAACAATACGGAGTTCCTGTGTGGGTGGTGCTCACATTCCAGAAGGAGAGACAGACGTGAAACAAATACACAAGTCAGATGGTGAGAGAAGCTATGGAAAAAAATAAAACAGGGTTAGGAAGACAAGGAGTATGTGGAGCCACAGAGTAGGGGAAGTATTTTATATGGAGGTATTTATTATTTTATATGAAGTGGTCTGGGAAGGTCTCTCTAGGGACCCTGAAAGGGCTGTGGAAGTGGGTCATGAGAGCAGATAAAGGAAGAGTGTTGCAGGCAGAGGAAAGCCCCCAAATCCGGAGCGTGCTTGGCATGTTTGAGGAACCACAAGGATGTTTGAGACACTAGAGTAAGGAAAGCAGAGAAGGAGTGTGGTGGGAGATGAGGTTGGAGGGTTTGCTTGGAGTTGCGGGTGGGGCTGACCCCGTAGAGCAGGGTGGTGGTTCTCAGAGCCAGCTGCACATTATACTCACCCTGGTAGCTTTGAAGATATGCCTGCGCCCAACCCCAGAATCTATTTTAATTGGTCAGGGTTGAAGTCTGGTCAAGTCTTTTTTTTGTGTGAGAAAGACCAGCCCTGGGCTAACATCCATGCCCATCTTCCTCTGCTTTATATGGGACGCCGCCACAGCATGTCCTGACAAGTGGTGCATCAGTGCGCGCCCGGAATCCGAACTGGCAAACCCGGGCCGCCGCAGCGTAGTGCGCGCACTTAACCGCTTGCGCCACCGGGCAGACCCCTGGTCAAGTCTTTTTAAAACGTGACCAGGATAGATCCAGTGTGTAGTTGAAGTCTCCTATACCTTATTAAGCGTGACGCTGAGCGAGATGAAAATGGCTGGAATATTTTGCACAGAAGAATGACACGAACTGATCATCGTGGCATGCCTCTTTCACCCACATGCCCCTTGGCCCCAAGATCATGCCTTAGTGTAGCACTTGGGATCTGCCTCACCCTTTGAGGGGAGAGAGTTGAGAACGCCATCATGAGCAAGATTTCGGGTGTCCTCACCTGCCCCTCCTCTGCCAGGCTCTCTGGTCAATGTCCAGGATGCACAGTAATAGAAGGGAAACAGGAGGACTTCTAGGGACAAGAACCCCTTCTGTTCCTTTCCAAAACAGGTTGGAGCCTGTTTTAGTCTTTTCAGGCTGCTATAACAAAATACCGCAGACTGAGTGGCTTATAAACAACAGAAACTATTTCTCACAGTTCTGGAAGCTGGAAGTCCAACATCAGGTTGCTAGCATGGTTGGGTTCTGGTGAGAGTCCTCTTCTGGGTTGCAGACTGCCAACTTCTCTTTGCATCCTCACAGGGCAGAAAGAGGGTGAGCTACCTCTCTGGCTCTTCTTATAAGGGCACTAATCCCATTCATGAGTGCTCCACCCTCATGACCTAAGTACCTCCCAAAGTCCCCATCTCCTAATACCATCCCATTGGGCACTAGGACTTCAACATAGAATTTGGGGAGACACAAACATTCGGACCATAGCAGAGCCCCAGTTCCTGCCTCCTTCAGTTTCCCTCCAGCCTTCAGTCAGAAATCCCTGTCTCTCCCTCCCAATGTTACTCTGAAGTCACAAGTATTTAGAGGATGACTGTGAGAACTGATGAGTGTGTACGTCACTTCTGCTGACTCTTATGTTGAAAATACAAAAACACATTGATCATGTATAATATACGTGTATTAGTGCCTCAAACCCATGCAGCCATGATATAATAGCACAGAGAAGAATATGCTCGGAAATAATGCAACCCTGCATTTTTCTTCCTTTGGGGTAACAGTGTAATGGACTTGTTGAGAGTGAAAGCTCTGAAGCTGGGTAACTTACACCCCATTTCTAACTCTTACTCGCTGAGTGATTACCCTTTGTGTGCTTCAGATAATGGTGTCAAACTCGTAAGGCAGTTGTAAGATTAAATGAGTGGATACATATTAAGTGCTTAGAAATGTGCATGGCACACATCTAGTACTCACTAAATCCTAGATATTAATACAGTTACATTTTCCTTCTTCATTTAATCACAATATGGATGGATCTCTCTTTAATTTTATCAAAAACATAGGAGACTTATCCAAATGTCTTTCAGTAGCATTTTAGACATTCAGTAGCATTTATTCCTCTCTGTTGTTTAATTGCTGAAAATATAAAGATGCTACCTATTAAGAAGTGCACCAAATTTCAATTGAGGAAGAAAGGGAGTCTCAAAACACTTTTAGAACACAAATAAGCCATTTTATGTAATTGCTGTGCAAACATAATTTTTGGCAAAACTCTCCAATTCCTGGCCTTCACATGGATAAAAAGAACAGCAGCCTCTTTTGGACACGTTGAAGCTGGGAATGTAAAGAATTAAGACATGGACAAGACGTGTTTTCAATATATTTATCTAGAGAACTATCTAAAGTGCCTACTTGGCAAACAAAGATGAAAATATGGGGTTTAGTTCTAGCCTTCTTAACCACTCACCTTATAGAGGTTCCTAGATTTAGTGGATGCAGGTGGGGCAGGATGACAGGAGGGGAGGTGACAAAATTTTATCCTCACAGGAAAGAGAGTGTTTGGACTTACATTATTTCTCCAACTTTCTCTACCCGCATGAATCTCTCATCTTTGTTTCATAGGAGTCGGAAAGTTAATAAAAACTTACTGGAATATGAAAAGATTGTTAAATATTTATTGGAAATTTGAATGTGATACTTAAAGGTACTTGTAGTCCTCAAGGTGCCTTAAAGGTAATATGCCTTTATTCAAGGGAAAACCTTTTTCCAGAGCTTTGTTTGAGTTTGACACCCTACTTGAGTGATATTTAAATAAAAGTAAGATAGAAAATACCTCTTAGGAAAGAATGGCCTAGTTTCAGCATTTCTCCTATATTAATTTAGAGAGCTCATTTTAACGTGGCCTACAGGATGAAGTCTAAATTTCTCAGCTCCACAAGCTGACCTCAATCCTGTAAGTGCTTTCCCGTCTCTATAGTGGCTCTCCCTCCATTACTTCTTTTCAGAAGTCATGGAATCTACAAGGCACACTCATTCCTCCAAGTCTTTGCTCTTATTTTTTACTCGGTTTTATTCCTGTTGAAATTTTCCACATCCTTCAAAGATCAGTCCTCGGATGATTTTCTCTGATTTCTCCGATCTGAAATCATAGCTGCTGCTTTGTTCTTTCAGTCCTTTGTTTGTTCTTCATTTATTGCCCTTAGTAAATTCTGTCTACTGTTTTAGCTAATTATCTGCATCCTTTTATCATCATAAACAGTGAGATCTTTGGAGGAGAACAAAATATTTCTCAATCATATTTGGATACCATACAATACCCTGTATATGCCAGAACTCAACAGATACCTATGAAATGAATGAACAACAAAGACCAAAAAAAAGTTTTCAGAACTAGAGCATGCTTTCTCTCATTTCCCTTGCATACAATCCCTTGATCTCATGGCCATTTGGACTGCCACCTTTGTGTCTTTGTGTTTCTTCTATGACAGTCTGATTATGGACACTCCTTGCTAAAACCCTTTAATACTCCTAATTGGCCATAGAACAATAATTTGACCTTAGTGAGATAAAATCCAAACTTTATTCAGTGTCCTTCAAGGACTATTCATTTGATGCTGTGGTTTCAGTTTCACACTCAATGAAAGTAGTGGCAGCACTATATTCCCCTGCCTTCTGTGCCTGAACACAGGCCTTCATGTAACGCTGGATATGGGTTGGAAATTAACATGTAGAGAATTTAGTTTGCAGTTCTTTGCAAATTCATGAAGACTCCTCGTTTGAGAAGCCTTTCCAGCTTTTACTGTCAGTCCATACCCCATCCTCCTCTTTGACCTCAGAACCTCATATCTTATATTCACGCATTAGTTCAGCATATTTTTTTCACCATCTGCCATATGACAAGTATTATTCCCATGGTGGTGATGCCCCTAAGACAAAGTCCCTGCTTCACAGAACCTAAAGCATGGCATTTACCAACTTGTCCCATGATTGTTTGCTTCTTTGTCCCCCATGCTAATTGTGAGCTTCCTAATGGTAGGTGCACTATCTAATTGATCTTTGGGTCTCCAGCTCAATATCTGGTATATGATAGCTATTCACATATATAGATTATTATTTATACAGAGAGACTCTCCTTATTATGTTGGTGCTTGGAAATGGAACCGAGCACCAGAGATCATATACTGCTGGTCTGTTAAAAGATTTGGCATTAGATATGTATTCTTGGACCTACAAAACGTTGTTTGTTTGAATTTTAGTTAGGGCCAGACAATAAAACCTGGGAGATTTTACATAACAATCCAGATTTCCAGCTTCTCTGGAGAAAACCCACATTCCTGTATTAAACCAATCAGCTGAAGCTAATTCCCACTCTGCCTGCTCCTTTAGATGGAGCACACCCTCTCCATTTCACTACAAACCCTAATATCCCCTATTGTACTACATGTGTGTGTATGTATATATGAGTATTGTGTTCATTTGCATGGATATGTGGTGAAGAAAGAATGAAGTTCTTCAAATTCTACATAAATCCACTGAAAGTTTATCTTTACAAATTTATAGCAATTTGACTCCAACACTGGAAATAATAGCTTATTCCATTTTTGTTTTTTTTTCCTTAGTGATGTAGAATGCTAAGAAGGATTTGCTTTCATTTGGAATATATAGCATATTGGGTCATCAATCTCAATTTTGTCCAAGTTATTTTTCTGCATTTTCACAGTATGTTTTCTGTATTTCTCAAATTAGGTAGATAATTGCCAGCTACTCTTCTACTGTGATGTGTGTCCCACTCCAAAGTAAAAACATATCTCAATCTATCTGGCTTGGGTTCTTTTCCTCCTTTACAATTATTGAACTAACACTTTTCATTTGGCTTGTTTTTATCATATGAGATTAGGACACTTAAAAACATAAAATTGAATTAAAATTACAGTTTACCAAACTAAATATATTCATGCTCTGTTTCAGCTATCCTTAAAAAGAAGAGGAAGCAAAGATTTGCCAAAATCTGAAAAAAAGGGTCAACAGACTCCCACAGAGGTATGTGGAAATAAAATTTCAACTAATATATGAAGCACCTCTTAGAGTAGATAATAGTAAGCTACATCTATAAGTAGACATAATAGCCAAACACAATTATGTGAAACGAAGTTAAATTATGTGTATCAATTATGTAGCTGTAGCTACAGTCAGTGTAAAGCATTCAGTATCTTTGCTTATAAAGCTAGCACTAACATCCCTGTTATAATGATTTTACATTGTAAGCACACAGAAAAATGTCGTTAGTACTTTATATGTTGCTGTATTTGAGAACTGTACCCCTGGTGCTAATCTTGTTCACTCGTAATTAATAAGGTCAATAGAATGGCTGTTTCTATAGTGTTGGGGAGAGTAAAGAAAGGAATGTTGCAGGAAGGGACGGTGGAGGGGAGAGAGAGGCTCATGATGGCTTTAGAGTGTCCTAGAATGAAGTAATTCTCTATACCAGTGACCAGGGAAGCAAAAGCAAGGAAGTGAAGGAATAAAAATAAAACTTAAAAGATGTACTCGAGAGGCCGGCCCTGTGGCTTAGCAGTTAAGTGCGTGCGCTCCGCTACTCGCTGCCCGGGTTCGGATCCCGGGTGCGCACCAATGCACCGCTGGTCCGGCCATGCTGAGGTGGCGTCCCACATACAGCAACTAGAAGGATGTGCAGCTATGCCGTACAACCATCTACTGGGGCTTTGGGGAGGAAAAAAAAAAGGAGGAGGATTGTCAATAAATGTTAGCTCAGGGCTGGTCTTCCTTACACACACACAAAAAAAGATGTACTCGAAGGGCTGGCCCAGTGACAGAGTGGTTAAGTTCGCACATTCTGCTTTGGCGGCCCGGAATTCACCAGTTCAGATCCCGGGCGTGGAGCTACTCACTGCTCATCAAGCCATGCTGAGGCAACGTCCCACATAGAAGAACTAGAAGGACCTACAACTAGGATATACAACTATGTACTGGGGCTTTGGGGAGAAAAAGAGGAAGATTGGCAACAGATGTTAGCTCAGAGCCAATCTTCCTCAAAAGAAAAAAAGATGTACTCCGCATGGGCTTGTTAAGATCCTTAGAGACAGAGCCACAGTAAAAACTAGCTCTGCTTTCAGGGAGAGCAGAAGTTGCTGATGGAGGAAATGAAGGAGATTTTGAAACAGAAGAGGAAACATTTGGGGGCAGAAGTGACATTATGGCTCTCCAAAAACATTTGGCTAAATATTGACTTTTACATGTGTAAGGTGGAATCGATAGTACTATAGCATACATTTTTTTTTATTCCTACAAGGTGTTTTCTCATTAGATAATTTCCACTAAAGCAATATTTAAATATTCAAAATTTGAAAAAGTTGATCTCATTTTTTTACAAGCATAACATATTAAATGTTTATTTTCCGTTTTCCTCCCTCTCCTTGCTCTGTTCTTGGTTAATTTTATTCCTAGCACTTTACCATTTATCTCATACTAAGATCATTACTCGTTTTTGTGCTTTTCTCTCCATTCCCTTCATAAGTTCAAATATGTTCTGTCACCACAGCTTCCTCACTCTGTCTCTGCCATAACCTTAGCCACCTCATTCTAAATATTTTGCTGGGAGTCATTTCACATGTTGCCATAAATCCTCTTCCTCACCTCATTTAGGGAGAAGATGCTATATGCTCCCTGTTCTAAAATCTTAAGTCGGCTTTAATCAGCAGTTGATTTGTTTTTAAATTCACAGTAGTCTTATTCTTATACTTCCCATGTTAAAGTTTATTTATTCTTTTCAACAATATTCTCTAATCCAGGAATTCTAAACTGTTTGTTCCTGGCTCTCCAGACCCCACTCCATGTGCATATGGGCACCTTTCTGCAAAAGACATCCACAGCTTTCACCAGTTTCTCAGTGGGCCTGGATCTTACAACAGTCAAGATACATCGCAATCAGCCAGTTTTTATTTCATGGGCCCAAATGTCCTGGGAAATTTATAAGTATGCTGTTGTGGCCTTTGAAGTCCCTGCTATCATTTCCAATTCATTTATTTTTAGAGGTTATTACCTGTCTTTTTTCAAAAACCCACCCCAGCAGATTGATCAGGACTGCCTCAGATGGGAGATCTCAATTATAAAAGAGTCCATAGATGATTCTATTGCTCAGTCAAGGCTGAGGGACCATTGATTCACATACTGAACATTACTGCAAGCATCCCATTCTGTTGTAATTCTAGTTACATATTCATCTTCCATACTTAGCAAGGGCATATTGTGGGCAGGGGCTATCTCATTCAGCTTTGACTTGTTGGCGCCTAGTGTCTGGCACTCTGCACATGCTTAATATGCACTTTTGAAAACTCCCATGTCCCCCTTTGCTAGGTTGAGCCATATGAAATTGCCAATGTGCTATTGATTTTGACTTATAGAAATGGCAATTTTGTATGGTTCAACATACTGTTATTTGTATAGCTTTGCATTTCATTGTGTTCATTTGCTTCAGCTTCTGTGATGTATTCCTTACGTGCTCCTCCAGCAGCACAGTGACTTTATTCACTGAGAAATGGTATTGCATGGCAATTAAGAGCAGTAACCTTAGGGCCAGTTTTTCTAGACGGAACCCTCTGCCATATGCCAGCTGTATGGCCTTAGACACCTTACTTATTCTTTCTGTGCCTCTGTTTCCTCATCTATAAAATGGGGATTGTAATAGAGAGTTATTGTACAGATTAAATGAGTTAGTATATGTAATTTTTTAGAGTGCAATTTAGCTTCTAGTACTGGCTAAGTCAAAGCCAGGCTCACTCACTTCTTTCAACCCTTCGTCATCTTTATGTTCTCCTTCTTCATATGTCATCTGTATCTTAAGAGTGAGTCTTTAACATACACAAAAATAAGAGACAATTTGCTTCACATCTCCAAGCATTATGATGTTTCTTGCCTACCTTTCACAGTGGAAAATAGGAGCAAGCATTGACTGCTCAGTTACTATCAACCAGGCACTTTCCATGCAATCTCTTACCTAATGTTTTCAACGTTTATCCATGCCCAGTTCCAGATGCAGCCTACAATAGTTAGGTTACAGGCTGAGGATGTGAGGCACATTGGCACACAGGGTTCTGAACCTCTTGGCATTGCAGAAACGATCACACTTTGTATCTTGAAAAGATTTCTTTTTAAATAAATAAAATAATTATGGTGCCCATCATTCTCCTTCCCTCATAATGACTTTGTTACATGCAGTATATGTCAAAGTTTTAAACTAATTTTCATGTTTTCATTCCTGTGGGCAGGAGAGCTTTCATATACACAAATCAGATCTCCCCCTCTTTTATATTTGCTTAACACAGCCCAGTGAAGTGTTATTCTGCTCCAATCTGTGACTTATATCACACCCACTGCTGTTTTGCTTAGATTCAAACTGCAGCATTATCCAGCATGTTTTGTTTACTGGCATATAAAGACCTAGCTCTGCAGTCAAGATCTTCTGCCTACATGTGCCCAACCTAGCTTCCCAGTCTCACCTACTGTCACTTCCCAGCAAAACCTAGCCTATGTAAGAGCATATTAGATATGCATATTATCAGTCACCTTTCTATTCAAACATTGTTTCTAATTCTTAGCTTATATGACCTTTGACTCTTCTGGCCACCCGCCCCAACCTTTAACTATTTTTTATCTGTCTCCCTTTCTTTTCTTCTCCTCTTTGGTTGCCTGTGAAACCATCGCAATAACTTCAGCCATCACCTCTATGCATCTCATTCTCATGTCCTCCCCTCTGGACCTGAGCTCTCTACAGGTCCAGACGTGTAATCTTTGTAATCTTGGGCCTGAGATTCCACAAACCTGTTGATAGATGTTTCCTCTAAGTATCCCTCCACTGACACACCTCAAAGACAGCATTTTAGTATACTTAAATCCATATTCTTCACACAAAACCTGCTCCTCTTTGTTCATTCTCTATCCTTGTTATTGGCAGCACAATCCATCAAGACACTTAAGTTCAAAACACTGGGGTTATCTTTGACTCTTCTGCTGATGTGAAATTAAGCGTTGTAACATGTCCTTGCTGTCATCCTCACTGAATTAGTTTGAGGCCCCAACACAGGGTCTCTGGCAGGTCAGCTTCGCGCTTCCCTTGTGAAGTGGATGCTCACATCAAATCCTTCTGTGACATACATCTTACCCTTCTCTCTCTCTCTGCTCCTGAGGTTCTCTCTCCTCTTCTCTCTGTGCTTCTCTCCTTTCTTCTAAATCCCTTCTAGAGGAAAGTATGCAAGCCAACACATCTGATTCTTTTTATTTTATCCCATTGTCCTACTTTTCTTCTCTTGTGCTTCTTTTCTAGAGGCAACATGTGCAGTGGAAAAAATATGAATTTTGGAATCAGTCTGAATATACATGTGCTCTATCACTTACTAACTTGTGCTCTATCATGTTAATAAACCTCTCTGAAGCTCCACTGCCTTATCTGTAAAGTAGACATAGTATCACCTTCCTCACCGGGCTGATGTGAGGATGTAAAGATATAAGGAATGTGATGATCAGGCTCTGCACACTCAGCAGCCCTCAAACCTTCATACTAATTCTCATTAGTAGATGGGAGCACAGGAGCCCCGTGCCCGGGTCTCCATCTCTTCCATCTCAGAGGCTCTGGGCCATATTTACTGAGCATCTCTGGCAGAAGCTCACTATACTCCTCACCGTCACCACCAGTGGTTGCTACTTCTTTACCAGAATTCATCTCAAACACAGCTGACTCGGTGCTGGGAAAGGAAGGCATTTTTATTTCCATTTAAAAAATCAGGAAAGCAAAGTCCACAGAAGTTACATGATTGGCCCAAAGTACATACTTAGAATTTTGGGAAATTGTCCTTGGGAAAATATGTTCTTGAAAATAATAATGTGCTTTTATATTAGCTTTCAGAAAGAGAGTTGCTTTTCATTTTTCTGTTTGTACTTTTCAATTCGGCTAATGATGAGAGTTTGATGGTTGTCCTAGAAAGGGAGAAGAACTTCTGTAGGGTCTACTCCATCGTCTTTTCACCAGGCAGAATCAACTCGATCCATTTCAGACTGATGGGAGTACATCGTATTTTAAAAGGGATCTAGATGAACACCTGACTGTTTCTTCTTGGATGGGCTGTTCCAGTGTTACACTTTCCCTACTTTAAAGGCCTTTAAAAAGGTGGAGGACAGATTGCTTTCCATATGGCAGGGTGCTCATGAGCCTAAACCTTAGTGTCAGACAGAACTGAATTCAAATTTCACCTTTGTCCTTTGCCACTTATTAGCTGTGTGACCTGGAGCGAGCTATTGGACATCTTTAAACCAGCTATTTTAATACCTACTCATAAGTTTACTCTGAACATTAAATTATGTCATATCTATAAAGAACTTTACGGAATCTGGCTGAGAGTCAGTGCTCAATAAATGGCAGTGAGTGCATATTAACCACGTGTTCTTTCCAGGGAATAGGTTTCATATTTATCACAGTCAGGGGAATTCAAACCATGTACAAAACAAAACAAACAAGATGAACATTGTTGAAATGACAGCCAAACACTTGTGTGCAGTTACAACATATAATCTCTGAATAGTGATGACCACAGTTTTTCTCTTTGTATTCGTTTCTCTTTTTGTTTCCAGGATGCAATATTGTCTTAATCTTTTATTTGCCAAAGGATTTAAATGATTTGGAAAAAATATACAGCATCTACTTCTCTCTCTCGGTCTCTCATTAAATCTTAATTACAAGAAAAAGGAATTATCTTCGCAGGTGTCCTTTGGTTGCTTTCTTGATGTACATAAAAATGATCTCTATCCTCTTCCCCCCTTTTTCCCAAATGAGGAGGACAATGAAGACCTGAAATGCCAGCTGCAGTTCGTGAAGGAAGAAGCTGCTTTGATGCGAAAGAAAATGGCCAAGATTGATAAGGAAAAGGACAGATTCGAACACGAGCTGCAGAAGTACAGATCCTTTTACGGGGACCTGGACAGTCCCTTGCCCAAAGGAGAAGCCGGGGGCCCCCCCAGCACCAGGGAGGCGGAACTCAAGCTGCGGCTGAGGCTGGTGGAGGAGGAGGCCAACATCCTGGGCAGGAAGATCGTCGAACTGGAGGTGGAGAACCGGGGCCTGAAGGCGGAACTGGACGACCTGAGGGGCGACGACTTCAACGGCGCGGCCAACCCCCTCATGAGGGAGCAGAGCGAGTCCCTGTCGGAGCTGCGGCAGCACCTGCAGCTGGTGGAGGACGAGACGGAGCTGCTGCGGAGGAACGTGGCCGACCTGGAGGAGCAGAACAAGCGCATCACGGCGGAGCTCAACAAGTACAAGTACAAGTCGGGCGGCCACGAGAGCGCGCGGCACCACGACAGCGCCAAGACCGAGGCCCTGCAGGAGGAGCTGAAGGCGGCGCGCCTGCAGATCAACGAGCTCAGCGGCAAGGTCATGCAGCTGCAGTACGAGAACCGCGTGCTCATGTCCAACATGCAGCGCTACGACCTGGCCTCGCACCTGGGCATCCGCGGCAGCCCCCGCGACAGCGACGCCGAGAGCGACGCGGGCAAGAAGGAGAGCGACGACGACTCGCGGCCGCCGCACCGCAAGCGCGAGGGGCCCATCGGCGGCGAGAGCGACTCGGAGGAGGTGCGCAACATCCGCTGCCTCACGCCCACCCGCTCCTTCTACCCCGCGCCCGGGCCCTGGCCCAAGAGCTTCTCCGACCGGCAGCAGATGAAGGACATCCGCTCGGAGGCCGAGCGCCTGGGCAAGACCATCGACCGGCTCATCGCCGACACGAGCACCATCATCACCGAGGCGCGCATCTACGTGGCCAACGGGGACCTGTTCGGACTGATGGACGAGGAGGACGACGGCAGCCGCATCCGCGAGCACGAGCTGCTCTACCGCATCAACGCGCAGATGAAGGCCTTCCGCAAGGAGCTGCAGACCTTCATCGACCGCCTCGAGGTGCCCAAGTGCGCGGACGAGCGCGGCGCGGAGGAGCCCATATCCGTGAGTCAGGTACAGTTCTGCCTATTGCGAGCCACGGCGATGGCGAGGCTGGTCCGCGGAGCCGCGCGCCCCGGCGGGGCGTCTCCGCGCACCGACCCCCGCGCCCCGCTTTAGGGAAGTCCAGCTCAGAGCCTCGCCGGGCTTGGGCGGCGCACCTGTGCTCACACCGTCCTTCCTCAGGCCTGAGGTTGTCGTAACCCAGTCGCTTGGTAACTGTTGCCCCTCTGTTCTGTTTAAAAGGGAAATTCAACCCTCCTCTCCTCCAGTTTTTGTGTAAAGATGAAAGGGTTTTAAAGACATTATTATTATTATTATTATTATTGAAGGTCAACATTTTCAATGTTATTCTACTGATTCTAATAGATCGAGATGCAAGAAGATCCCGAATAGGAATCCTCAGTTGTTGACTTGAGGTTTTCGAGCCAAGATCCAAACTGAGTTTTAAGTAATTTTTTTAAAAATTACTAAATAGGGGCCAGCCCGGTGGCGCAGCGGTTAAGTTCGCGTGGGCTCGCCGGTTCGGATCCCGGTGGTGGACAGACGCACCGCTTATCAAGCCATGCTGTGGCGGCGTCCCGTATAAAGTAGAGGAAGATGGGCACGGGTGTTAGTCCAGGGCCAGTCTTCCTCAGCAAAAAAGAAGATTGGCAACAGATGTTAGCTCAAGGCTAATCTTCCTCAAAAAAACAAAAAAATTACTAAATAACCAGAATTGATGCATAGCTATTGGTAAATGTAGAAACCTGTGGTAAAGACAGCTGATCCTGTGTCTGAAACCCTACCAAAAGGAACAGCTGGAAGCTGCTCCTTCACCACAAGTGGAAGTAACATCATCATTATTTCTAGAAAAAGTCACTGTCATCTCTGTAGTGGAGAATCTCAGGACTGGGGAAGGAGTGTTATACTTCAGTTTTAAGGCAACACTAATTCAGAGAAACAGTAATGACCATTCCCGAACAGGGAAACCAGCATTTTCCTTCATCCTGATTTGTAGAGGCACACCTGATGAATTGGACTGAGCTGCTGTAGCCAGGTATGGTGGCCAAAGACCAACGCATTTTGTCAGTTAACCACATAAGAGAGAATTTGTAAAACAAAACAGGCAGTGCTACCCCCTCTGACAAGCCTGATGTCCTGTCTCTATTGGAGAAAACACAGAAGTACAACAGCATGCATGGCTTTTGAGACACACAAGAAGTTTAAATTTAAAGATCAGTTAATACACAGAAGCATGACATTAGATTAACTGCCTGTTAGTCACAACTAGAAAAATTGCAACCCTATCGCTTATTTATCTTGCATGTTGCTTTGCTTTGCTTTGGAAAAAAAAAAATTATGATAAAACCTGTTGGATTTTGAAATGTTAGCGCTAATTCTTTTTTCTTTTTATTATATCAAATAACTGGTTTTTAGTTTTCTTGTTGAATATTTTTGAATATTTCGAGCACGTGGTTTTTCAGTTATATCCTCAGGGGAAAAAATAGAAATCAGAGTGAGAAAAAGCACTATGTATAATAGGTTTCAGATTTTGTAAATAGAGGCATAAGGAGGGTTCTTCTTTAAGTTGAACGAATGCTTAGATTAGTTGATATAAACTTAAGTTTTTAAAATTATTATTAATTAACTTTTCTCTTTGTCTTTGCATTTACCTTCCCAGATGTTCCAGCCTATCATTTTACTTATTCTCATTCTTGTATTATTTTCATCACTTTCTTACACAACAATATTTAAACTTGTCTTCCTTTTTACGCTGTTTTTTGTACTGTAAACCTTTCCTCATTTACCATTCATTGTAGTATTTTCAGTTTGTTTGTTTTGTTTACTCTTCAAGACAAGAAGTAAAAGGAATATTATTTCTGTAGTAACCAATGCTATAAAAACACTGAAGACTGCTTATTTCTTTAAAAAGACACCTCTTACCACTACCAAATTCAGTGTGAAGCCCACGCACTAAAATATTTCAGGTAAGGAAGTGTAACCTTTTTTTAATAAATCATTTTAATTGTTGCTTATTTCTTTTACATCTTGATTTGTACTCTTCTTGATAAATAATTGTAAGAATGGCTGTAAAAATTGACTAAATCTCTCAGTTATTTCTCAGTTGTTGACTTTGATGATAATTCAAAAGCTGGACAAGTTGGTCACATTTCAAAAAAAAATAGAGATTTGTAAAGTACCTTAGCTAGCTTACATCAGACTGATAAGGTAATGTTTATATCCAATAAATATCAATGAAAATTATGATGAACAAATGAAATGTGACCATCATGGAAACCACATAATTTGTTGCAATGCTGATGGTGTTCTGTCTAAAAAGATGTGTGTGGAACCACGAGAGTGGATTAAGCCTTAGTTCACTGAGAAGATAATTATCCCCATCCTACTGCATTAGACCAGCTTCCAACCAAATCAGCAATTTCTGCATTTACCTGTTAAATTTGGAGTTCTGTCCTCTATAATAGATTACCACAAAGAACTGCCTCCGGAGCAAGAAATATGCAAGAACTATAGTATGTGAAATATTTTGAGTAGGGAAAAATATAGTCATTCTCTAGAATTTCATTAAATCACAATCCGAGGCCAGTAGCATAGTTCCAGTGGGAGTTGCTCTCTAGACATAAACTTACTTTGGTGAACCTGAACATCCCCCTTTCTCCTCCTACCTGAAGTGGCCTGGATAGGTTCCATGTACCCAAAAGGCCCTATTCTGTCCGTCTTGTTGACATTTTACCCAGTGGAAAGCTGGAATGCACCACTGCCACCAAGATTCAGAGATGCCAGCACTCATTTAAGTCATATACTTGGAAATACTTGCAGGTTAGTTGGTGGATATGAAAATCTGTGGTAAAGTGAAGTATCTTGCACCTCAGGATAAAAAATAGGTGGAAAATCTTTGCTCTCTTACAAAAATTGGTACTAGTAACAATCTTTTGAATCCTGGTGCCCTAGTATATCCATTTCCCTTTGAGTATTAATTTAAAAAAAATTCACAGTAGTTGAAAATTCAGTTTAAAATAGCTGCTCTTAATCTCCATGTTTTTAAATTTCTTTTTGGTTTTTATTTCTTTTCGTTTTGCGGGGAGGAGAGACCTGGAGTGAGGCGTGGCCCCCAGCATTTGGAATCTGTCACTACGTACCTCTGGCTTTTCGTCTTAGAGGTTCAAAAGGCTAGGTAGAACTTCATGACAAAAAGGAGTGAAATAACATAAGTGCTATATTTAATCAATTATTCAAGTGTTTACTTTTTAAAAAAATTCATCTCAGGGAAAGCAACCACTTTAAAAATCAAAATTTGTCTGTTAGATCCTTGATAAGCCTTTAGACCACCATCTCAGAGGAAGTTTTGGCAACAGAACTGAAAGGAAATGTTTGAAGGCTGAAATTTATCTGAAATGTTTATTGCCTTTGGAGCCAGATACACCCAGCTAGGCAGTGATTCTCACCTATCTCTGAAGCATTTGGTAGTTTACGGAGGCGTTGTGGGTTGTCACAGTGACTAGGAAGCTCTATTGGCGTTTAGAGGAAAGGGGTCAGAACTTCAAGTAACTGTCCTACTCAAATTGCTGAGATTGTCCCTGTGGGAAAGTGTGGTGTGCAGTGCACTTGTTCACTTCAGAAATATCATGGATATTCACTACCCTGTGTGGCTTTAAGAAACTGGCTTCAGAAGTTTGACTTTCTTAATCATAAGAATCAAGAACTAAATATCTGAATCAGTGGTTTTCAACCCTAGGTGCCCATTAGAATTCCTGGGGTGTTTTTAGAATTGAGACCCTACTTCACACTAATTGAAACTGAATGTACAGATCGAGGCATTTATATTTTTTAAAACTCCCAAGAACCACTGCTTTAGAAGTTTGAATTATCTAAAATATGTATACACAGCCTATACCAAGGTTGCAGTAAAAACTGTATGGTACTAGCTATGTAGAACCATCAGTTGTCTAGGTTTGAGTAGACTTTAAAGTTCCAGCCATTCAGTAGAGTCCACATCCTCTCTAGAGCATTTCCGCCTTGGTCATATGGCCTTTGCCAGAAGACCCCAATGACAAAGCAGTTCTATTTTTCACACTGGTGATAGTGTTGGAAAACTCTCCTTTCATTAATACAGGTTCTTGAAACCAACAAAATGAGAGACGACAAATAGGAATAATACGTGACAGAAAGGAGAACCAAGATGAATATTGTGTGTGTGCAAGGTTACACACACGCCTGGAGATACAGGCACACATGCACACTGAATTAAAGCCTCCAGATGATCCCACACACCCCCCCTGACAAGCCACCACTTTGTCATTATACAGTTATCTCTGCCACAAAGCTATCCTGTGTCAATCCAAAGAAAGGATATGGTATGCCACAAATCCACCAGGAATGATGGATGCCCGCTGACTCTACCCTCCAAACCAAGATGAGAAAGCATAGACAAGAGATGTGAGAATGGAGCAAAAAGATAGAGCACGGCTCCTTTGTCTCTTAGCAAACATTGTGAAGTGTTGGCTATGTCAGGTATAGAGGAAAGTGAGGCTCAGTTCCTACTCTTTTAGAGCATTCGATTGCTTGATTAACCAGGACAGACATGTAAGCAGCTAACATGTACTCTTACTGAAGTGCGAAAAAAAGGCTTGTGGTTGCAATTTATTGTTTATTGGACACCTGATAGCGTGTAAGGTTTCCCTAAGAAAACACAGTAAAATTCCTAGGCATTCTTGGATGGAATGATGCCATAAATAAATACAGGGGTGGTATATATACCTCAACGATATCTTGTGACCTGAATAAGAAAGGAGAGGCTAACCAAGAGAGGTCTCGCTCCCAAAACACCAGCCTCGTCTTCAGATCTCTTGTTAGGAATTAAAGTCATGCTGGCAATAGGAGTATTAATCTTACCTATGAACTCCTAAGGCATTGATTTTATAGAAGAATTTTGTGAGAATCATAAGCTCCTTCCAGGCCCTCCATATATGGAACCCCAGTAAGAGATTGGGGAGAGGAAACAGGACTGACTTGGCTACTGCTCACAGATTCTGGGGCATTTGGGGTCGTTCTGACAGCTCCTCTGAAGTTAGTGAGGCAACTGTATAGTCAAATTCCAGGGAGGCTCTTTCCAACTCTGCCCTACCCACTGCATAGCCGAATTCCCAGTTTGTGCCTGTGTGAATGCACACACCTCTACCACACTGTGGTGTGCAATGAGAGATGCATTCAACATCAGGGAATTCAGACCTGCCTCTATCTCAGGGGACTGCTGGGGGCCAGTAGCTGGGAGGTGGTCTCAGCAAACTGCCAGCAGGCACCAAGTGACCTTGTCCCTTGCCTTCTTCTCCCTGGAACTTCAGCTGTTCTGTGGGCAATCAGGAGCTAGGGTGCATCTTTCCTTTACATCACAGGACGTAGACTTGGGGAGAGAAGTTAACAAGGCTGGTGCCCAAGAGCTTAGAAAGAGAACCCCCAGCATGTCTTTCCCCTCCTCCCCTTGGATCCTGTTACTCGCATGATCTTTGTTGTGTAAAGCTAGTTCTAAAAGAACACTCAGGCTGCTTTGTTCATCAAGAGAACAAAAAGTCCTCCAGTTATTGAGACAAAGAATCTTCTCCTGTTTGCACCTTGAAGCTGTGCTGTTTAAACATCATGCTAAAAATAAATTCAAACAAATAAATCTTATTGTAGAAAATTCCCTTACATGCACATTCTTGGGTGTAGGAAGAAATGTCTTTGGTAATTTGGCCTAGATTTGAGAAAAAAAGAATTCAGTTGGCTATTTTTAAGCATAATTGACTCAAACTCATAAAACAAAAGAAAATTCAGTGCTGAGCCTGGAATGTGTATTGGCCTGTGTTCCCCAACCTTCACTTCAATTTGTGTGGTAGAGTGGGATACAGTTATTTAATCAGCCGCCAGTGAAGTTTGGAATGTCAGTTTGGTAGCTAAACCTTAACTCCAAATATTCATGCAGGGTTCATAGCTATGGTCTTAGAGAATTACAGTCCACTTTCATCCAGTAGAGTCGTGCTTGGGGTCAGATGCCCTAATTGAATTCAAGGATTGAAGAGAAAGGTGGTGGAGGATAGTATCAGAAAGTGAGAAAAGTTGACTGTTTATTAATCTACTGGGATTTAGTAGAGTTCAAAAACAATGTTCATGAAGACAGTGCTGCTTAAACCCTGGTTATAAACCAGTTAGGTCTAATGAAAGATAGTTTTAATTCTATTTTGTAATTTTGATCTAGCTTTTGATAGGGGAAGTGATTGCATACACATGTTGATGAAATTAACATTTCATGAGTAGGTCTTGGGTTCTCAACAGCCTGCTTGTGGAATTGCAGAAGGAAACTCATTCAGAGTAAGAAGGCTTTATGGCCTGGCCATGGCAGGAAAACTTTTGTAGTTACAGTAGTAGATGTGGTAACATACTCAATGCTTCTAAACAGTACTTTTGTGTTGATCAGTTGGGAGAGGAGGACATGGTGTTAGCTGTTTTAAATGTTGGCCATTCTAAAGTGTGTGTAAAATCGTAGAATCTCTACAAGTCCTTTCCATGTAACTTAATACATACATTTTAGTCCATGCCTTCTCTGTTTAGGGACTCACTTACTCTAAACTACTCACTTGCAGTTTTAAAAGAACATTGTGGCTGTTCTAGGGAAATTGTGGGTAGTTTTTAAATCGCTTCCAGGAACAACTTTCAAGCAGAGTAGTGTTATGGCCTCACTTGGTCAGAGAATAGGAGCAGCCTCTTCAAAATAAGAAGAAACTTCAGAAACTTCCACCTTTCACTGCCCGCTGTTAAGCCAGGCTGTGTTGTCCTAAAGAGCCTCATCTTATCTTGTGTCTCAGATATGTATGGTTAATTAACTTAAATGTAGTGACATTTCCTGATTATACAATTTCATTGTTACAATTATAAAAGGTTTTTTAGCTCATAGATGTATGAGTTTTCCTATAGCTATTTTTCAAAATAAGG